GGAGAAGAATCCGGAGGCAAGCCGACGGACACCCCCCACAGTCGTAACGGTCGACGCATCGCAGAGTCGTGGCTAGAGTGGCAATCGACGAGGTTGCTCAAGCAAGGCGGTAGCCCTTTGTGCCGTTTGTCGAGGTAGCCGAGAGCGTATGATGGTGGAGCCGTGGTCGAGGTAGCCGTGCGAAAAATGTCATGGTCGATGTCGAGTCAGGGTAGCCGGTTTCGAGGAAGCCGCCGTGGAGCCGCAGGCGCAAGAGGGCGCCGAGTTAGCATGGGCCAGTGGTGTCGAAGTAGGGGTGCGCCGGGAAGAAAATGTTGTTGACGACGCGTCGCGGCAGGTTTGCCAAGCCCGGGGACACATCGTGGATGAAGGCACGCACCGGTGTTGCCAGCACCGGGCATGCGTAGACGGACGAAGATGAAGTTGACGAAGCGCCGCACCAGGCTTGCCAGGCCCGGGGACACGTCGTGGACGAAGGCACGCGGCGGTGTTGCCAGTACCGGGCATGCGTGGACTGAGACCTGCACGAGCTGTATGCCATGTCGAAGAAGTCGGAGAGGCCAGCAGAGAAGGACTCGACGACGGTTGCGGCGCCAATCGGCGCGGGGCCGGTGTCGCCCGTGGTTATCGGAGTAGACGAAGTGGTCGTGGTAGATGACGGCGATGCTGGCGACGGGCTGATGCTGGACGAAGACGAAGAAGGTGGGCGGGCGGCGGCGGCGGCCAAAGAAGAGCGGCGGCGGCGGCTAGGTTAGGAACGCGGCGGCGATGCTCGAAGTAGGCGAAGAACCCTGACAGCGTGACGAAGACCGGCGCGGACGGTGGCGTTCCCGCGCCAAGGGAGGCAGCGCGACACATACCACGGGAAGTCGACGCGCGAGAACAATGAAGTGGACCATGGGCCGCCGCGCTACGGCCCGAAGGGGCGACGCAGCGGCGGCAGGCGGGTGGGGGCGACGCAGCGCTGACGCGGGTCGGTGCAACCTCGTGGGCATATATGCCGTGTTAGAAGGGAGAGAGGGATTGGTGGAATAGTTGTTGTATTGCTTGAGCCTCGTGGGCATATATATAGGAGTACAATCATCTACTTGGAGTACAAGACAAGCCAGAACAAATCCTAGTTTATGTCGTCTTTCCTAATAAATATTATACTTAACAGGCCGGATGGCAGTCTCATCACAGCAGCTTAGCCTTCAAACTTTCAAAATGAAGGGAGAAGGGAGACCCCTGAAAATTGAAACCGGCCGGCCAGTGGGTGTCAGGTTGGTTTCTTTAGAATACACCATATAAATTACCAAATGGGACAGTATATACAAGTTCAAACAGCCTCAAACAAACTATTAGGGTTGTATTGTTAAAAATATATGAACATAAATGTAATAATGCATGCATATGAATGTTATTTTCTGAAGAAAATTAAAATAAGAGATTTTTCCAAAACCATAAAATTTTCTCAAAAAAAAACATGATCTTTAACTAATGGATGAAACATTTTTAAACAAAATCCAAAATAATCCAGATACATGAACTTTTTCAAATATTGTGTCCTCTTTTTTTCATATCTTTGATTTATATAAATGATATATAAATATACTTAACTTTTTTTGGAGAAACATAAATATAGTTAATTAATAGGCCATGGTACTGCCAGCCATGTGAGAGCCTTTGAGGAAATCAGCCTCCTATCTTATGTTTAAGGCAAAGAATAACAGCACTGCAACCAATCGTAACCATCCTCTAATTCTTCTGTGTTGGCAGGCCACAGTGTCGGCTTTATTCTTGGGCTTGGCAAATTATCCATTCAGCCAACTATATACTACAACATGAATTACTGCTAATTTCCTTTGTAATTTCGAGTTACAGAGAACTTTCACTCCATATATATATCTGTGTCCACATCATGTTCGCTATGTATCCTTTTTTCGATGGTATCTACTTCTACATTCGTTTTCACAATTTCATATTCGTTGCCAAGCTGTCGAGTTACTGATTTAAGGGTAAGAAGTTGGATGAGACAGGGTCAACAGCTGTTGGAACGTAATCTAACAGTTCAGGTTAGAAATATCAGATTTTCTTAAAACCTAAAAGTACCTAGTAGATGATAGGGGAGACGCCCCTTGCAATCCAATATCCCTCTCTCTATAGTATTGTTCAGCGAAGAGAAGTTTATGTTGCAACAGTATTTCAGTCCACCCCTCTCAATATTTAGTTTAGGAGGACGCTAGCGGAAACCGTTGGGAAGCCCGGCTCCATCTCATGAGAAGGTTGATGGATATTCAGCTATCTCAGCAGCCCGATCAGTTGTGCTGGAAACTAATTAAGAAGGGAGAGTTTTCGGTTAAATCCATGTATTGTATATTATCAACTCTAGCTCTATTCCTAGCTCTAAACATGTTTGAAAAGTCAAGGTACCTTTGAAAATTAAAGTGTTTATGTGGCTTGTCCATAAACAAGTCATTTTAACTAAGGATAATTTGGCAAAACGTAACTGGACATGATCTACAAGATGTAGTTTCTGTGAAAGTGATGAATCCATCAAACACCTCTTTCTTGACTGTCCTTTGGCAAAAAAATTGTGGCGATCGGTCCACATAGCATGTAATATTAGTCCTCCGAATTCTATCAACTCGTTATTCGGGACGTGGCTTGACGGGATAGATTCAGGAACAACGAGACATATTCGTGTAGGAGTATGTGCTTTATTATGGGCAGTCTGAAACTGCAGAAATGATTTGGTTTTAACAGAACAACAAATATTCATTTCTTGCAGGTTATTTTCCGAGCTACGGCCCTGATCCGTATGTGGTCGCTACTCACTCCGACGAAGGCCATGGAGCGTTTGGTTACTGGGTCTATCCGATGGGAGACGGTAGCACGGGCTATTTTCAACCGGTTTGGATGGTGATTATGTAATAGGATAGGCATTTAGTGTTCCTATCTTTTTATGCCGGCCAGTTGTGGCTTCCTTGTATTCTGTCTGCTCCTAGTGAGCCTTTTTTCGCTTTTTTTTGAGACCTGATGGTTATTGTTGAACCTTTTTGAGTTTTAATAATATGTCCGTATGCATCATTCTAATGCAGAGGCCGGGGATTCAACCTCTTTTCGAAAAAAAAAACCTAGTAGAGGATAGAAATGACTCATCCTTGTAGATACGCTGGAGTTGGTCTTACCCAGTGGATGTACTCTATACAGTCTTAAGATGCGTTGTTAAAATGATAAAATATGGTTGGTTGGAATTTTTTCTGTCTGAATATAATAAAGTAACCTACATTATTCGAGAGGATGCATGCATTAGGTTGGTGCGATACTTGTGGATACTCATGAATGTGCAGATTTGTCGAGAGAAAGTGTCATGCTGAACATGGATGCAAATATTTTACTAGCCATACTGAACATGGACCCTGTTGAGACATACGCTATTAGAGAGGCCTTTTCCCACTTAGGAATCTCCTTTTGAATCTGCGTGTACTAGCTGTTACACAAGTAGCTACAATACTGAACAGGCCAAAATAGAATAAAAAATGTTAAAGCAGGAACCTGCATGGAAATGTCACTCAAGGAGCTTTAGTACTAGAAAGGCCCACAAAAATAATATAAATGTTAAATTAGGACCCTGCATGGAATGTCATCCAAGGAGATATAGTACTAGAAAGGCCCAGAAAAATAATGAAAATGTTAAGTTAGGAACTTGCATCTCCAACTACTTGACAGGTCCAAGGAAAAAATTAGTTGAAGTACGAACTTGGACCGAATGTCACTCAAGGGACTATAGTACTAGTACATGCACAAAGAAAACAATAAAGATGTTAAATTAGGAACTTGCTTGGGATGTCATCCAAAGAGGCACCTACCATACTGGACAACCTAGAAAAACTAAAGAGAGATGTTAAAGTGGGCATGCGCGTCGAATACCACCCAAGAGCTATAGTACTGGGAGAACTAAAAATGAAAGGAGCTATGGTACAGGACATGCGTAGAAAAATGAAAAATCTTAAAAAAGAAACCTGCCTCAAATGTCACCAATAAGCTACTCCCCGAGTTTCAAAATGTGAGGCATATATTAGTTCGTGGCAAGAAACGGTTGCTAGAATCCTTGCGAAAAATAGAAAAAGAAAATAAACTATTGCTAGAATTTTCAAGAAAGCTGCCTTGGCGGTCCTAGCTAATATCAGTGGAATTTCACACCTGGAACAAAGCTCGTCTAGTTGGGGCGATGTGGTTACCCTCCGATTAAGGGGGCGAGCCGTTTGACTAACTACCCCTTTACATATCACTAACCTTCAAAGTAGTATGTCGTCCGGCTTTTCGATTAATGAAATGAATCGGTCTCATT